TAAAGCCTCTCACTGTTTCAAAAAAATACCATCTGTGGGTCTTCATGAAATTCAAGAAAAAAGCAGGTAATAAATTAGAGAATTGCAGAGACCAGGAAGGAGGAAAAAAAATCATCAGACTTTCAGTATGACTGTGACCACAATTTTGAAGAACGGTAAAAGCTGCAAAATAAAACATAAAAAATCCCGCATGAGCAGCAGTGACAGGAGACAGCTACGGTAAGCGCAAAGCCACACTCAACGTTTCAGTGTTCCTTTCCTGTTTCGTTCAGTCATATATGTATCACTTTTCACCTTTGCCTCAATTAAGTGCCAGCTTAAAAATATTTAGCAGACTATGCATAATTCTACCTGGATTCTATCGCCTGGAGGGGGTGCGTGTTCATTACTTACACACACACACACACACACACACACACACACACACACACACACACACACACACACACACACGCACACGTTGGGTAAACATATCTTTATGGGGACCGTTCATTCATTTCTATGGGAAAAAATGCTAATGATAACTATGACAACCTTAACCCGACCCAGCCCTAACCATAACCATAAGTAACCAAGCAAAATAGAAGAGTTTTTGCATTTTTAGTTTTTTTCATTGAAGTCACAGATTTTTATTAAATTGAGTTTTCCCTTAAGGGAAAAAAATGGGTATTCATCATATTGTGGGGACAACATGATGACCTTAACCCCTAGCCAGCTCTAACCTTAACCATAAGTAACCAAAGTACTTTTTTGATTGCATTCACAGATCTTTGTGGGGACCTGAAAAATGGTCCCCACAACGTAAAAAAAAAACAGGTTTTTATTACATTATGGCAGACATTTTGTCACCACAATGCAATAGATACTTAATTCACACACACACACACACACACACACATTATGGGTCATATTGAAAGATTAGTTAGCCCAACGTTAGGGGAGGCAGAATTCAAACCCCCAACCCTGGAGGTGTGAGGTAATACTGCTGTGTACTGAGCCCTCCTCATGGACAATGAGTATCCCTTCACCATGCATTAAGATCAATGCTAGACCCTCTGAGCAATCCCCTTCCATACTGGCATTATTGGACCACAGGAAAATCCTATTGGCAAAGGAGTTTTTTGTGTCAGTTTGGGATTAACCCTTAAAAATGTTCTGGGCTGTGAAATAATATGTAACACCTCTGTTGTTGTTTCACCTGGGTTCGAGAATGGTTTGTTTATAACACTCTGGTTAACCTGCTCGTGGGCTCAAGGAATTGTAAATGGATTTCAGGCTCACGTATCTGAATACTGTCAAGTCCAATCCACCTCCATGCTCCAGAAAAATATTTATGAGCAGAAGTCCTTTAACAGACCAGGTTCTGGTTTGCATTTGGATTTGTACACAGTGCTGTCTACGCCTGCGGTTTCACTTCTCAGAAATGAGGCAAAGAGAAATTGAGATGAAACATTTTTTTTGCTTTGTCCCTGGATGCACCAGACAGCTAAATGAATACTGGTGTTTGTTCAGGCACAGACACAATCATTTAGTGCAAATTGTTTGTCATGCTTCAATATTTCACCTGTAATACTAAAGCCCTTTAAAATTACCACAATGTCAGGGGTCTCAAATAGGGTTTCAAAAGCTTAACCATTATTGTTGTCATTAGTATCATTCAAAGTACGGTAACAGGAGGTCATTATTTCCCAGTTTGATAGTGTCCAGGACAACTTAAAGACATGTAGTCTTTAGGCATAGGTAATTATATGGCTTGCTGTTCCTGGGCGAACCATCATCCCCAGAGGACATAACTATAACTACGAAATGAGATTTTAAAAACATTCAAAATGGTTTGGCTTCTTTCCATCCCCTTTCCAGAGTTAACAAAAGTATCACTTGAACAAAATAACAACAACCTTCCTTTATTGGTTTTGAATGAATACCATAATCTTGAAATCTGGATTCCTTTAATTTTCTTGAGTTAATTTTATATTCTAGTAAAGCCAAAATGTTTTTCTGAATGGACTGCTGGCATTAGACAAACTCAAACTACCAATTGTTTTTTCCTTTTCTAGTAAATGATGACCATTTTAGCAAACTTCCTGAGATGCATTCTTACCGAATGAAGTAAAGTTTCCCCTGCTATTCTTAGACCTGGCTGGAAATATGTAGGGTTACAAAAAAATGCCATGGAGTGAAGCAGAAGGAAGATGTTCTGAGGTGCATTATGCTTGTCCTGACTTGACACTCTTCTCAAGTCCAATAGACACGGTGTCCTTGACAGAGACAGGGAAGAGTGATAAGTGAAAGAAATCTAGTGATTGACAGACTGTTGGTGTCACATGAAACAGAACTGTTCAATATCAGCTGAAGGGAAAGGATTGTTTTGGCAGGTTTTTGCAAGCAGGGCTAATACCCATAAGAAAAGCCCTGTTCTGACAATAATTAGCTGATATGTGGGTTTAACTAAGGACACTTAAAGAAAAGGCTTAAATGAAAGTCTTGGCCCAAATGTTGCTGTGTCATACCAGCTGGATTACTTTGAATACATTTCTGAATTCTGTTTGAAGCATTAAAATTTTCAAGTACTGTGATGAAGTGGTTGGAGGAGGGATGTATGATACAAATTTGTAAGAAGTGCCCTTTGCCTCTCAGTTTTAATGGTGGAGGATTTCTTTGTAAAGACACGCGCCTCCTAAAACAAATGTTTTAACTATAAAAACTACAAAAATAAGAACTGTAATACAAGTAAATGAAAAGGCCTTGTGCCAGTAATGATTGTTTCTTTATGTGTAGACTTACCCTACATGTAGACACCAATATAAGGTTGAAACGCAGGTCAGTTTAATAATGTGACGCACATGGCAGTGTAAATGTTTAAGGGTATTTTATTAGAATTCTGCCATTACATCATTTGTGCATTCTTTGGGAAATCAGCAAGGCACAATTATTTGTCAAACGTGTGTAAAGACAAAAACATCTTAATAATACAGAAAAGTATAATAATAATAATACATAAACTATCAAAGAGGCATACGGTGATGTTTAACACATTGCACAAAGCAGAATAAAACTCGCAATACATGCTGAATTATCCAAAATATATGAAGGATACATTTTGTCACTGAAAACCTACATATCAAGCAGTGGTGTAGAAAATGCACAACGTAGTATAAGGCAGGGCTTTTACAAAACCACGATACTAAAACGATACAAACAAGACACTGTACATAATATACTTATACTGTTTATTGACCAAAGGCATGGCCACATACTGTAATCGCTAATTAAACTAGCAGGACAGTGTGATGTGCAATAAAGAGTGAAGAATAAAACTGCAGGTGAAAGGCGGCCAAGGACAAGTAACGGCACGCGCGGTGATGCGCACGCGCTGCGATGGCCGCGCGAAATTTCTGCGGACTTCACGCCAACACTTATCAGTACAGTTTAAAACCGGAGGAGAATGAGAAGATGAAACCAAAAATTAGGGGCGTGGATGTTTCCAAAACAAGCCAAAATAAAACATGTAATTCAGAAAAAGCGCAAACGAAACTTTCCGGCTAATTAAAGAAAAATAGGTTATATAAACAGATTAAGCGAACCAGAAAAATAAACAGGACATGTAATATAAGGTATATATTTTAACTTGAAGCCTTTTAGTTAATCACGACTGTACTGTATATGTTGCTTGTCTGCAATGTCTCCACATAAATGTGCGTAAATGTTCCTGCATTTTCTTAGCTATTTTTTACGTTTACAGCGGTAAGCTTGTGCCATTCCTGCGACACAGTGTGACAGACTCATTGCAATCACAAAAAAAAAAAAAAAAAAAAAAAAAAAAAAAAAAAAAAAAATCAAAAAAAAAAAAAAAAAAAAAAAAAAAAAATCAGATAGCTGCCATATTATTTCCTTGTCTTCACTGCAAGGCACGGTGGGCGTCCCTTCACAAAAAAAAATAATAACAAGAACAGCATGCAAATAAAATAAAACTACGGAAGAAGGAAAAAAAACAAAGATATCTCTGCTTTAGGGACAGAAAAGTAACAAAGAGCGCGTGCATTTATATATAATCTACCTGGAGAGTCCCGTTTAATCAGCAGCTACAGCTGAACTACTTACGGTGAAAACTACACAAAATACGTTTAAATCTATGTCTCATTTATGTCTATACCCTCAGCTGTTTAATGACAAACACAGAATATGGCATACAGGGTGTAGGACCTATAATCGCAGCGACGGCATCAAACCTGCATGTGGAGTCAGGCATTCCCTACGCGAACAAACTGGTCAGTCATGTTTCAGCGTTAACTCACAGCGAATAAAATAAATGTACACAACATATTAAATTTTAGTATACGTATTTACAAAATACACATTGTGGTGGTAAGGGACTGCATAATTTGCCTGCGCTGTTCTCGAAAAGGCCGCGGCATTGCGCGTCCCGATCCGGTGGCCACTTGTCTTATAACTGCAGTGGAAATAACTTAAACCATAAGCGCGTGGAGTAATCAGGCTCTGTGCTGAATGATGAATTCCTGCATTGAAGGATGACTGCCAGAAAACATGTTAGTTCCCAGCAGAGTCTGCCATGAGTGTAAACAGTGTTCAGCTTGTAGTAAGGACTAGTGTGAATTGGAGGGGAACAAGCCTAGAATGATTAAGAGCCACGATATTCTGCATATTGCTTCATTGTCTGTTCAGCATCTTATTCTATCGACTGCTTGTCAAGTTACATATCTATACATCTTCTACATACATGTTCTGTGCACTTGTTTCCAACATCATCTCCTCAGGTTCTCTTACCAACAGAAGCACATGCAGAGATGAAAGCAGCATCCGTGGAGGACAAAACCAGACATAAAGGAATTCTTTAAGTGGCTCAATGGCAACAACATGACAAAACAAAACTGCATAAATATTTCATTGTAACATTCTGAATAAATTTAATCTTATTATTTCAACAAAGAGAAGAAGAAAAATTAGATAGGAGGATCATAACAGATAACAGGCACTACATATTTTTGTGTACATGAAAGAAATGTTTTTTTTTTCTTTTTTTAAATGTTGTGTGAAATATAGTACAAATACTATGATGCATCACAGCTTTTGACTGTTAGTTAAGACCAAGAGAGTTGGATTCCTTTCACATCCCGGCTGTGTGTAGAGAGAATTTAAGTGTGTATTCAGAGACTCAGTGTGGTCTTATTCCCTCAGCAGATTCTGTTTGTAAAATCTGAGACTGCACCTCTCCACCTTACTGACATGTCCACAGAGTCTCAGTCAGGGCTGCAGTAAAGCTGGGGACCAGGCAGGAATAACAGAAAACAAAGCTGAAAGGTTCCAATGTGATGCCGTTGGAAGGTATGGTGTGCGAGGCGGTGCAGGCGATCATGCCGAGGTGTGAACCGTAGACGGTGTCATTCCAAAAATAAGGAGACGGATGTCCATGTCACTCTGAAAGGCACTCAGGACATGTTTTTTTCTCCCAGGCATGGACACCCCCCCGCGTTAGAAGTCACAGCAATTGGTTTGATTTCTCTCAGGTAAAAAATTAGTCCCATTTGTAATAACAGGGAAGGCAAAAGTTGCATTTTCTCCTCTCAAACTTCCTGGTACCTGTGAAAGACATTGAAAAGAATAACAAGATGAAGGCACAGATCTCTGAGGAAGAATATCATCAATCTCCTTTTTAAACCACAACTCTCATTTTGCATCCCTGTTTTTCCATCTATCCATCCATCCATCCATTGTCCAACCTGCTTATCCTACTGGGTTGCAGGAGGTCTGGAGCCTATCCCAGAAGCAATGGCCATGAGGCAGGGAACAACTCTGGATGGGGGGCCAGCCCATTGCAGGGCACACTTGCACATGTCAAGGGCAATTTAGCAATGCTAATTAGCCTCAGCATGTCTTTGGACTGTGGGGGGAAACTGGAGTACGTGGAGGAAACCCCATGATGACATGGGGAGAACATGCAAACTCCACACACATGACCCCGGTGGAGACTTGAACCCAGGTCCCAGAGGTGCGAGGCAACAGTGTTAACCACTGCACCACCATGCTGCCCCCTCCCTGTTTTTCTTTTATTGAAATTCCCTCTTGTTAAGAACATAAGAACATAAGAACATAAGAAATTTACAAACGAGAGGAGGCCATTCGGCCCATCAAGCTCGTTTGGGGAGAACTTAGCTAATAGCTCAGAGTTGTT